TCCTTTTGTTGCAATGCTGTCGGCGTCTCTTTTATCGTACACAAATCGTTTCGTTGCTTCATTATGTCGTGGGAATTATCGGGCATTCGTTTAATTTTATAGTTTCTCAGCGCTAAGAGGATGTTTTGGTGTAATGGAGAAAAAAAAAATTAGGTGTAATTACTTAGGTTTAATTACTTAGGTATACTAACTTAGGTATATGTACTAAATTAGGTGTAATTATCACGATGATAATCTTGTTGTCAATGTTATAGCAATCGCATTTGCAGAAATATTGTCTTGACCATGTACAGAGACATTGTTTTAATAAATTCAATATTCTGTTTATTTCGTTTCTTAATGTTTCAATCTTTCTTTTGATTACCTTCTATAACGATGATGATAATGTTTGTTGCTACCGATTATTTCAGCTTTAAGGGTGAACAGTGTTAATTTAGATATCATTTGTAAAGAGATTCTATTATACATGTTTGTTCCCAAGTTATTATAATTTTAATAAACTAGTACGACAATTTGACAATTTAAATGTTTTCACAATTATTAATAATTTTATAAATCTAATGCGTTTCGGATCAAATGAAGAGTTGCGCGTATTTTTCAGTAGAATGGGCCGTTTCTAATCAGACTGTGCATCTACCTATAACAGCGTGCACTCTCATGAATTTACAGGAAACGACAGTTCTTAAACTTCGACTGCATTAACCAGCAATTCATCAAATACAAAATTTATCAAATTTCTTATTGCACTTCGTTTTACCGTATACCGCATGCAAAAAATGCGTGGAATGCGTAGTCCACGCTGTGCGAGCCAGTGAAAGGTTTCGAGGAATATCTTCCGTTACAAATGCGAATCTACCGATTCGGAACACATGTAGAATAAAGTTTCTCAGAAAGGTTTATCTGATAACTCAAACAGGAATACATTTATCTACAGTATACCGGCATGAATAATTCGAGATAAGATCTCGGTATATATTCGTTATGGTGTCTCCTTCGATGTGTCTCGTTTGATCGCGCGTTACGAACCGTTGAAAAGCCAAATAAATGTTCGGATTGAAATAAATGTATGCGAAACGATTCGTGGGCCGACAGCAATTGACACTTTACAGAGCTTCTATATTTTACCGGTTTAACGTAAATGACCGCTAACACGTATTAGCGTCAATTGGTTAAAATAGTCACGCGCATCATTGTTGTACTTTCTCACAAAAATTGAGCGACGCATGCCTCCTCGTCGTATAACACTTCTAGTGACGCTCTTTGTAACTTGCATCGATTTTTTTCTCTTGTTGACCTGAAATTAATCCTTTGCGTTCGAACGGCGACTCCGAGGCGCCACTGAAAATTGCTATTTAATTGTTTCAAGCAGTTCTTAAATTATTAAAACGATTCTTATTTATTCGAAGAGTTGTGAAAAATGCAAGAAAATAAGTTCGAGGAAATAAGCTCAATTTCATATGCATGCAGTACGAAACAAATAAAAAATCTAAACGCTACACGCTGGAAGGAATATGTTAGTTTCGAAGTTGAAACAGCTTCGAGTGCAAAGGGTTAAAAATGAAGTTAACAAGTCGACAAAATTTTTCACGTTAAAATAATTCACTGTCTTCGATTCAGTCACGATTGGCTGTTACAAACACTCAGACAGTATAACCAGGCAGTTCTTCCAATCGATATTATACAAATAGTGTAACAATTAACGTGAATATAATATAGTCTGCATCAATAATAGGATAAAAGAAAGGAAAAGTATTATTGTACGAATTGAGAAGAGAAACTGATGTCAGAGAAGAGTCAAGTTGAAAGTTGACTTAACAAGATAATAATTAATAATTCACAACAAATTGAGAAATCAAATATATAGTCGCATCATTGTTGTCACAACTATTGGAAGAAGAAATACGTTATAATTCAACTCCTGTTTCTTACAATTAATGCAGACAGTTTTTATAGACTTATAGTATAATAACTGGTCAAATAAAATGCCAAAGACTTTGCAAAGATTTTACAAGAATTTAACTTCAACTTTACAAGAATTAAAAAATATTGTCGCATTATTGTTGATGTATTAAAACCCTGTTCGATGATGAAATACATTGTTTTTCAACTGCTGTTTCTTACAATTAATGCAGATAATTTTTATAGATTTATGGTGTAATAACTGATTAAATAAAATGCCAAAGACTTTGCAAAGATTTTACAAGAATTTAACTTCAACTTTACAAGAATTTAAAAATATTGTCGCATTATTGTTAATGTATTAAAACCCTGTTCGATGATGAAATACATTGTTTTTCAACTCCTGTTTCTTACAATTAATGCAGACAATTTTTATAGATTTATGGTATAATAACTGGTCAAATAAAATGCCAAAGACTTTGCAAAGATTTTACAAGAATTTAACTTCAACTTTATACAAGCATTTAAAAATATTGTCGCATTATTGTTAATGTATTAAAACCGTGTTCGATGATGAAACAGATTGTTTTTCAACTCCTGTTTCTTACAATTAATGCAGATAATTTTTATAGATTTATGGTGTAATAACTGATTAAATAAAATGCCAAAGACTTTGCAAAGATTTTACAAGAATTTAACTTCAACTTTACAAGAATTTAAAAATATTGTCGCATTATTGTTAATGTATTAAAACCCTGTTCGATGATGAAATACATTGTTTTTCAACTCCTGTTTCTTACAATTAATGCAGACAATTTTTATAGATTTATGGTATAATAACTGGTCAAATAAAATGCCAAAGACTTTGCAAAGATTTTACAAGAATTTAACTTCAACTTTACAAGAATTAAAAAATATTGTCGCATTATTGTTGATGTATTAAAACCCTGTTCGATGATGAAATACATTGTTTTTCAACTGCTGTTTCTTACAATTAATGCAGACAGTTTTTACTCGACACGAAGATCCGCAGTGTAGTAATTACATTAACTAGTGTCTCCGCGTGCTCAGGTGTCTTTGATCGCGTTAGAGGCACCCTGCCAAAAAGCAGTTGATATCGCGACTTGTTGATTGATTTCGCCTGTGCACGATGCTTAAGTTATTTGGCAGCGCGCGACCGGTCCGCGTTTTATTGATTCCGCTGTAGAATAGGACCGGGAATAACCCCAACGGCCGCAACAAGTGTTCCCACGAAACGAGCGTCATTTACACTCTGTCCAGATTATTGACGGAATGAGTCACGTGTATCGCGGACTAATCGGAATTTCAGCGGGACGGATCCGGCCGAGCCGCGCGGGCGGTGTACCGCTAAATATTTCGTAAATGAATCACTCCATTGAACGTACTAATTGGCAGGCGTCTATTCGGGCCGTTTATAAACCGGCGGAAATTTTCACGTGAAATGTAATTTTCCCGGAAACTGGAGCGCGCCTGTGTGCTCCCGGTGCAGGCCGGCTAATGCGATTATAAAGTAAATGAACGTGGTATAGTGGCCGATACTGTGCCAAACAGCCTCGTAGTTCGCTATCTGACTCTATGCGAACGTATGTTTGCTTGTTCGATATTCAATTGTGGATTTAGACATTTTTCTATCGAGAGCACAGAATTTATCTTCTGTTCGATTGCAACTTCGTCGGTGTTGCAGAGAAATTAAAAAATTAAACAGTCTATTTCCGTTGTATTTATTCAAGATTATGCAAACATACAAACGTGCGCATTGCACGTATTAATGTCGACGAAACGTATTATTTTCTAAGAGATTTGTTAAACTATAAGCAATTTTTATATTACCTCTTTTGAGTGACGAATAAATTGATATAACGAAATATATAAATAGATTAACTTCGCAGGCCTTCACGAATAAATATACATATTTTGGATCACATAAAATAATTTCTATTTAAATATTTTGCATAATTGTGTCGCTTTGCATGAAACGTTTCATTTTTTCACGGTGATAAACTGCTTGCGAACATCACTGCATCGTGGCATTGAGGGAAAGTTTGGTTTCTTCTATAAATAATGGTTTATAAATACTTGTTATTTATACTTGTATATTTATCGGCATAAACATGTCCAGATCTTCCCGATACATGTCGTGGAAAATATATTAATTTTACTAATTATATTATATATATTACGTAATTTACTAATTATATAATATATAAAATAATAATAATTTTACTTATTATATATAATCTAAATTTTTGGTTATTTGGGCAGATCAAAGTGTGACAAATTATTGCATTTAAAAAGAACATTATTTTTGCCCTCTAAAATTGCTATTAGATATTTAAGTTGCGATTTAAATGTTCTGCTTCGTTTTGTTGACGATCGCGGTACATCGTAATATGAGAACTGAGCATCAGCGGTGAAAGAGATATTCGTAAGCAATAAAAGAATTTACGTGAACATATAGCCATTCGGCCTTGTTCCCGAGTTACAGAAGCCTACCTTTATAGCAAGTTCAAAATAGCTCTAACCGCATACTTACTGCAGTCGTTTTGTCCATACTGTTTTAGACAATCATTCGAAAATCCTTTTCAAATGTAAAAATTATCAAGCATTTTATATCATTAATTTAATTTTAAAAAAACAATTCTATTAACGCAGAAATATAATTAACTGTATCATAACGATTTTACTCGTTGTGTTCGTAATTGTTATAAAATCCCTATTTTATTTTTTTCCCCATTTCATATTTGATTTTCATTTCTAAAATAATATATTAGCGTTTTTAGCGATGTTTAGACTGACTATAAATTCTAAAAATTATTCATTTTAAAAATGAAATAAAAACTATACCTTGTTAATTTATACATTTTCTTGCATTCTAAAAATCTCTCTGTCTCGAATTCTAAAATCCTCAATCCAGCGATAATCCTCTCGAAATTGAAAACCTGCGATGTCGCGGAGACCGAACGGAATCGGAATTTTTTTTTTAAGTTCTATTGTTACTTTATCTTCGCGTACCTTATCAAAAAAAACACACACACAATGGACGAAGGAGGAGCTCAGTATTTCTCTTTTGTGTGTGTCAGATCGACCAGTAGCAGAAATTGTGCAGGATCATGGACCCGAGTTCTTCCATCCTCGCATCCTGCTGTCAAGGATGTTCCACAAAGGGACATCCACGAAGTATCGGGAGATGTCGTCCCGATAAATATGGTGAAAGGCATTGGTCATCTACGGGATCCACGACTTAATAAGGTAAGCTAATCTCTTTGTTACACGCTGTGGTAACACACGATGCGAATAATATATTAAAACCAACATTCCGAAGACTAATAAAGCTGTGGACAATTTGAAGAGATTTATCTCGAAGGTTTTATAAGCCAGTTCGAAACACTTGTTTCAATGAAACATGTAATTAAAAATGAAGAAATTTAACAGACACGAATGTAAAACAATATATTCTAATCATAACGTGATTGCAATGCAAATTAACATCGTATATTAAGAAGCTAGTTAAATTAAAAATAAAATAATAAGTTTTATATATATATAATATATATATAATAATGTATATACATACATATATATAATATATAAATAATATATATACACACATATATATAATATATATATACAAATTATATAAATACATATATATATAATATATATAAATAATATATATAAATACATTAATTGGTTTCGTCAACTATCTACTAATGAATTTATTTATTTTTCTGGCTAATGATACCGAGTATTGTTCAACAAAGCAACAACTTTGA